AACCCTAATTTTTGAGAATTATTTTTAAAGAAAAATTTGGCAATAATTCAAATACAAACCTTGCTCCAAAAATTGTGCTAAACAATTCTAGATGATTTACAATCATAACCAAACAAGTTCTACTAACCTAGCAAGCAAGAATCGAGCAAAACAACTCTAATAAGTATATGCATCATTTACGTTTCACAAACATGTTTCAGATGTTTCAAGTAATGTTTCAGCTTATTATATGCAAGATTATGCATGCATGATTAGGATGCTTGATGATGCATGATATGCGTGATTTGCGAAGCCTAAAATGCGGGCATAACACCGGTGTTACATTCCGGCACAGCCATTGCGTGTGAACACCGCTTTGGCGACTATTCGCACCATTCCGGTCTGGCGCGCCCAGCGTCGTTCGCGCTGTTCCGTCAGCGCTTTCCGCTGGCGTGCTCTCACCCGCCGTAGTCGGTCCAGGCGTGGTCGGTGATGCACCACCAGGCACTGGACTGCCTAGACCGCCATCTTCTTGCGTCGATGCAGCTGGATCAGCACGGCGGTACGTCACCGTCGTGTACTCGACGAGGAACGGCTCTGTGTCCGCCGCGAGAGCGCCACCGTCGCTCTCTGTCCAGTCCCACGCCCTGCCTTCATCAAACACCACGTCCCGCGAGATATGCACTCGCTTGGACCCGGGGTTGTAGATCCTGTACGCCTTGCTCCCCACCTCGTAACCGATGAACACCATAGGGGTGCTTCGGTCATCAAGCTTCTTGAGGTGACCGCCGGCTACCTTCACATGTGCAACACAACCAAACGTGCGAAAGAAGTGCACAGGTGGTTTGTAACCATACCAAGCTTCGAATGGAGTGATCCCCTCCAGACTCCTCGTCGGCGATCTGTTCAAGATGAAGACTGCCGTGAGCACTTGCCTCTCCCAAAACCGCCAGCATGTGCATAGCTTTGAGCATGCTTGCGTGCCATGCCCAAAGACAGATTTGGTTACGCCTCTCCACCACGCCGTTTTGTTGCGGCGTATACGGCGAGGTGAGATGACGCTGGACTCCCTCCATGGCGCAGTACTCCACAAACACGCGCGAGGTGAACTTCGCCGCCGCGATCGATCGATACGCGGATGCGTGCGAGCTTGCGCCCGCCTCGCCTCTCTGCTGCTGCTTGGAGACGAATGATTGCATCCGCCGCCTGGTCCTTCGAGCTCAGTAGCACAAGCCACATATAGCGGCTTTTGTCGTCGACGGTGAGAAGGAACAGTCGATTCCCGCTGGGCGTCTCCGGAGTGACTGGCCCGCATAGGTCCGCATGGACTAGGTCGAGCAGGTTCTTGGCACGGTACTCGCTCGCAGCTGGGAACGGATGACGTCGCTGCTTGCCCGCCATGCAGCTGTCGCAGACTTGCTCAATATGATCGATCTGCAGCAGTCCACGCACCATCATCCCCTTGGACAGCTCCCTCAGTCCCTGAAAGCTCAAATGCCCAAACCTGGAATGCCACTGCCACGCCAGCTCGGTGCACCGTGCGGCGAGGCACACCGGCTGGTCGATCGCGAGATCCAGCAGGTACAGACAATTCGCCGAACGGGGCACCTTGGCAAGCAGACGCCGGTGTTGATCCCAGATCCTCAGAACACCATGTTCAATGAGAATCTTGTACTCGTCCTCGTCGAGCTGGCCGAGGCTGACAATGTTTGTCGTGAGCCTCGGAATGTAGTAGACCCTGGCCAACTCCCAGTGCTCCCCGCTCTTGAGCTTGAAGAGGATCGTGCCGCGTCCTTCGATCACCACGGTGGAGCCATCCCCAAATCGGACAGTGCCATGTACAGCAGTATCTAGCTCGGAGAAGATGGAGCGCACGGCCGTCATGTGGTTCGTGGCTCCTGTGTCGAGGATCCAGCGAGTACTCCCCCCTTCAGTCTTCTCGCCAAGCTGTACAAACAGCTTATCCTCACAGATGTGTACCGGCTCCGGCTTGGTGATGCTCGCGGTGATCACGCCCGCGAACGGCGTTGGAGTGCTGTCCTCCAAAGCACCGAGTTCACCTCTGGGGTGTGTGGACGACGCGCGGGCCACACGCATCTGGAACACCCGAACACCCAGCAGGCTCGCGCCCTCATCTCCTGTGGAAATGACCAGCTCCCCCGGAGACACCTCAGTGTCGAACGACGTCACGACGAGGTTGAGCACGGCCTCCTCCTGATCGGCCTGGGCCATGTGCGCCGCCTCATCCCTTTTCTTCTTGCGGCATTCCCGGGCCCAGTGGCCCGTTTTGCCACAAGAGGCGCGATTTCGTCGCCGGGCGAAGCTGCCGCCCTTCTTCTTGCCGGCTCCAGACCGCCGCTTCACTGGGCGCCACCGCGGCCGCCAAGTACCACCGTGGCCACCAAAGCAGGGCTTGAACCGCCACCGCGCTCTCCATCACGGCCACGGCCACCGCGCCCGCGACGTTGGCCTGACGAAGACTTGCTGTTGTTGCCGCCCGAGCCGTCACCCAAGAGCTTCAGCCGCGCCGAGATGCGCGCGACCAGCTCGTCCTCGGTGAGGTTCAGACAGCGAGCCGAGGAACCGCCTCCCCACCGCCCGTTAAGGCCGTACCGCTCCTCGGCGGCCTTGAGTCTCCCGATCAACTCCTCTACACAAATCTGATCGAGATCGAGAAGAGTCTCAATTGCCATCACAATCTGTGCATACCTCGGTGGGGTGGCCTGCAAGAACTTGCGGATGACCTCCGGCTCTAGGTACGCCGCATCAAGCACCTCCAGTTGATTGACGAGATCACTGATGCGGACACCAAACTCGTCCACCGATTCTCCATCCTTGAACTTGAGGTCTTGAAATTGGCGGCGCAACGTGTTTGCCTTCGCCTGGCGCACACGGTCGACACCGAGATGCATCTTCTTCAGCGCCTCCCACGCCGCCTTCGCCGTAGCCTTGCTGGCGATGCTGCCGTGCAGCTCCTCCGGGAGGCCCAGCGTGATGGCCTCCAGGGCGTTGCGGTCCTCCATGAAGTCGACGGTGCCGATGGTCACCGCCTCCCACCAGCCCCGCGCCTAGAGCTTGAGCTTCATGAGAGCCGCCCACGAATAGTAGTTGGACTTGGTGAGGAGAGGATACTTGTCCTTCCCCCCATCACGGACGACCCGGTTGATCACCAGGCCGCGTTCCCCTCTTGCGCCGCCGCTGCTCGAACCGCTCCAGCCGCCGCTTCTCCGCGTCGGCGACGACGAGCGATTCCTCCGTTCGTCCATGAACGCAGCAGCGATCGCGCGGTCGCGCGTCCACAGCCGGAACCTCGCTCTGATACCACTTGTTCTCCCCGGATCGCCGGCGCCCGTCGCCGGAGATGGAGAAAAGGAACAGTGCGTTCCTGTAAAACTCACGCGAACATGGTGGAATTCAAGAACACAGACACAAGGTTTGGTGCCGCTAACAACCGCAGCATTTTCTGGACTCTATATGCAATATAAATAGCAGATTACATGCGGCTTCTAAGCCACGACGCTGCGTCGACCACGCACCCGCCATTGTCGCGCCATCCCACGACTGGATGCATGCCGATCGCCACTCCTGCAAGCGCGCCACGAACTCCGACAGGCCCGTGCCATCCCACGGACGAGACCGACGCGCACACGCACACCACTACTTGCTAGAATGAAGGAAGACCGCTGCATGAACGGAGCATGCGTCTGGCCTTTACAGGACGCGCTCAAGTGAGCTCATTATTCAGCTAAGACTCCTAACTGACTGCTAACTGAGGAAACGGAGCATGACCGAGCTTGGGTTATACAATAGTATGTTCATCTTACCCTGGTTCACTGGTTTTCATGTTTCTTATCTCTATTCGACTGACTCAAGGGAGGACGCTACCTTCCTTGGCTTAGGGGCACTAAAACTTAATCTGCTCTGAGGGCTCTTGTTTTGACACAACCTCTGGGTTTTCTCAAGCTTCTTAGGTTCTGCCAAGTGCACATGATATACATTCATCTCTGCTTCGCCGGGTAATTTAGAATTATATATAGATGTAATTTATGGGTTTTAAATTATTTTTCATAATAATAGATGTTTTAATTTAGTTGTAGATTTAAGGGGAAATTTTAGTTTCTCTAATAATGACATAAGTGGAATTTTTTAAGTGTCACCGGGGGGACAATCCCCACTTGAATAATTATGATATATTGTCAACAGCCTCGTTTTTAGGGAACGAGGCAAAACCCTTTTGTCTGGTTAATTATAAAAAACCGGACTAAAACCATACAACGGCCCCAGCACAAGGGCGAGGTTGTGGCATATCCACTAATAAGGAAAATAAAATAACAACAACAACAAATGCCCCCGCCCTAGGGAACGGTGGCACAAACACAAAAATATCACGAAGAAGAGAAAGGCAACACCACCATTACCACCAAGGCACATGAGCTCTTAGGCGATGCCTCAGCGAGGTAAATGAATTCAAAACGTAATCATCATCGGCCAAGCAGGAGCTTAGCAAGGCTTTCGCCCAAGTCTTGTGCCGAGGAGAACTACACATTGACCTGGCTGGCCGAGGAGAGAAGGCCGCAAGAGGTTCCTTAGCGACGACTTCAAGAAGGAAATCCACTTGAGGGCGATCGTCGTTGTTGGTCCAGCGTAGAGCTGGGCTGGCCAGAACCCTGACACGCATGGTATGGCGGGTGCACTGGGGGCGGGGGCGCCGGCCGCCGCCACATGGGGAAGGCAATATCGGGGCTCGCGGACACAACCGCGGCAGGTCATGGTGAGCTGCATAGGGGGAGTGGCGTCGGCCACCGCAACATGGGCACGACGGATCCGGGCCCGGGGCGTTGGCACGCAGTGCGCCGCGCTGGGGGATCAGTGGCGTCGGCCGCCGCCACACAAGGACAGCACATCCATTTCTGGGAAGTTCATAAAGGGGGCTTGGGGTCATGGTGCGCCACGCTGGGGGTAGAGGCGCCGGCCATCGCCACACGAGGACAACAGATCGAGGCCCAGGGCGTTGGGTCGCGATGCACCACGTTGGAGGGAGGGCCGCCATCAGCCGCCGCCACACGGGGATTCTGTTGAGAGAAATGATTGCTAAAAAGAAGGAGGTATCTCAAGAAAACAAATTAAGGGGAGAATGTTGGAATTAATTTATTTTCTTGAGATGAGAAAAAAATAAATTGATTAGTGGATGCTATACACTGGTTGATCCTTGAAGTTTCTAACAAAGTCCGAAGAAGTGAAACTAGACGCAAGTATGAGTTGAAAAGATGCAAGTCAAAAGCAAATTGAGTTTTGCTAGTTAAGAGGTGCTTGATACTACTAAAAGCTACTGGATTGTTCATGCACCATGAAATGCGATAGCCTTGAGATGTGTATGTGTGTGAGAGAAGAGATAATGAATATATTAGTTTGAAGAATAACACATCCCACTGATTTTGCCGTATTCAATTCCTAACACAAATGCCTGTATTTACCCATCCTTGAGAAATTGACAAGGTTTGAAAGCATAACATTTTGTTCGATATTTTGATTTGTTCCAAAATGGAGGGGTAAAATCTAATTTCTCCTTTCAGTTGTGTGGGTCCTCTACATTATTGTGACTATGGTCCATGTGGGTCCTCGAGCCCATTTGGCCATATAGATCTCTCCATGATTCCATCCATCATGCTTATCTCCTTGTTACGACTGGCCATGGTTGGCAGCAGTTGATAGCTTACCTTCACAAGGAAGCTGCCACAACTCACAATTAAGCAGAGGCAACCCCGGAAGCTTTGGTGTGTATACATAGCAAAGGCAGCGGATCCCTGAGCTCCAGGTATGTGTAGCATCCCATTTTATTTTGTTTTTTGCTCCGTGCACATCCATTCATTTCATCTCTAATACCTGCCTTAAGCTTTCTGCGCTACTCCTTGTGTCTTTGTTTCTAGCTGTTGATTAGTTCGCTACGAAGCATCACAGGCCAGCAGAAGATCCCAAGTACTCTCATCACTGGCCGTCAAGATCTAGGCTCCATCCTGCACTGTGCAACACAAATTCGGAGGTCAGGTACTCTGGTGCGCACGTTGCAGAGGAGAAAAAGGAAGACCACATTTGGAGATGGCATAGCAACAGCAGCAAATCCCTTAGCTCCAGGTATTTAGTTTATTTCTGATAAATAATATACATCCTATTTGATTTTCATGCTTGCTCTAGTCAAGAATTTGTTTATTTCGTCTCTGATGCCTGTACTTTTTCCAGCACATAAATCTGTATACTAAAGGTACTTAATACTGGAGCACTCATCAGTCATAGATCATAATCTGGGCAAAGGACTCCTATTTATTTGTCAGTTCTAGAGGCAGTGGTATGTTAATGTTGGCATCGTTGAATAGTTCATGTTCATGTACTTTGTATCTTGTACTCTCCTATATCCTGCTATCTAATTTTCGGACATAGATGACACTTCTTATGTCGAGTTCACTGTTATGTTAGAAGGAATTCTACATTGTTTGTAAAGGAGCACTTCAGCAACACGAAGACCGAAAGGCGGGATGCGTACTTGAGCACCTGTTTACCCAGGTAAGATATCTCAAATATACCGGCTACTATTTCGTACACTTCTCTCAGATTATTATTTGAATGAAATCTTCTGACATTGGTGTTGGTACTGTTCATGCATTAATGCAGCAGAAAAAAACTAATACTCACATCAAAGCACAATAGGAATGATGTAGTTTCATCATGCATGTGGAGCCATATTTGGTACAGCTCATTTTTGAATTCTGGCCTCATGTTTGGCTGCTCACTGCGAATTCATTTTTGCAGGAAATTAATATCTGGCACAGGAGAATCTATAAGAAAAATGACCGGGGTAGAAGCTGCTGCCATATCTGCTTTAGTATCTGGAACCTTGAAGGTTGAGGGCAACAAATTAGCTCCACTACTAATCAAAGAGTACAGCTCTATAGTGGGTGTCAAGGAAGATCTCCAGGAGCTCCATGATCTTGTTGAGGGGATCAACTTTTGGCTGGAAAAAACAGCAGAAAATTCTATTGGAAGTACACAATCATTTGCTTGGCTGAAAAAGTTGAAAGATATTTCTTATGATGTTGATGATGTTGTTGATGAGTTCCAGCTAAAGGCTGAAAAACATCACTCCAATGGTGACAGTGGTATTGTGTCCAAATACCTGTGCACAATACCAAAATCATTTGTTTTTCAATGCAACTCAGCCAACAAGATCAAGGCAATCAAGAAGAGATTTGCTGCAATCGTGAAGCAAAGAACTGACTACCTAGCAATAACAAATAGTGTGGATCCTCCTGTTCGACTTACGAACATGAGAACAAAGGAGGTGACATCATTGCCTAATGTTGACGAGGCATTAGTAGTTGGAAGAGATAAAGATAAGCAGGAGATAATATCCATGCTTGAAGAGAATGATGATCAACAGAAAATTAAGATAGTTTCGGTCATCGGGCTTGGTGGGTCAGGGAAGACTACCTTGGCTAAACTGGTTTTCAATGATGGTAACATTATAGAGAGGCATTTATTTGAAGTTAGACTATGGGTTCATGTGTCAAAAGAATTTGTTGTCAATGATCTCATCAAAAAATTGTTTGAAGCTTTTTCTGACAATAATCCAGGAACCCATGCCTTGCCATATATGAACCAAACTATCTCGGACAAGTTGAAGGGCAAAAGGTTTCTTCTTGTATTGGATGATGTTTGGACCAACTCACGAGATGAGTGGGAAGAATTCATGGTATGTCTAAAGGTTGGCGCACCTAAAAGCAGGATTTTACTTACTACTCGGAACAGAGAAGTTGCGGTAATAGTGGGATCCACCAACCAATTTTACTTACCATTCTTGTCTCCAGATGACAGCTGGAAACTATTCCAACAAAGCCTGGTAACACCGCCTACTGGTTGGGATTTTGAAGAGGTTGGGAAAGCGATTGTGGACAAATGTGGTGGGGTGCCACTAGCAATTAAAGTACTTGCAGGTCCTCTCCATGGGAAGGAGCGGATAGAAGAGTGGCAGGATGTGAGAGAGAGAAATTTATTGAATGTTGATGGTAAAGAAGATAGAGTAGCTGCATGCTTATGGTTAAGCTATTCCCATCTGCCATTTAATCTCAAGCAGTGTTTTAAAATATGTTCATTGTTTCCTAAAGGTCATAGGATTGATAAAGAGCAATTGATTGACCTATGGATTGCTCATGATATGATCGCCGTAGAGGATGGTGTTGATTGCTTGGACTTGGAGCATGTTGGCCATAACCACTTTGAGTCTCTTATGCAAGTGTATTTCCTACAAAACGTCAGGGAAATAGATGGGAGAGTGACATGTGGGATGCATGATTTGGTTCATGATCTTGCCTTGTCCATCTCGGGTGATGAAATTTCACTTGACATGCCAAACGAGGCAAGCAGCAGTACCACAAGGAGCTATAGATATTTTTCTTTGATTAAACAGCCAGAACATATGGCACCTAAATTTTTTTTTAGAAAAGCACGTGCTGTATATATGCCTAAGTATGAAGATTACATATATGCCATGGCATTGAAGCATGCAAAGCACTTGCGCAGTGTTACGGTGGGATATCTCAATGCAGAAGGAGCTAACACCATATCTCAAGTTAAGTATCTGAAATATCTTGCCATGTCATTACGAGATTGTGAAACGCTTCCTAAGGGTATCTCAGATGTTTGGAGTCTGCAAGCACTTCATGTAACAAGCAGCTATTCACTTATCAAGATACCGGAATCCATTGGTAAGCTGAAAAAGTTAAGAACACTATACTTGTCGGGCTGTATAGAGCTAAAGAGTTTGCCAGATTCTATTGGTGATTGTCATATGATTTCAAGTATTGATCTTTGCAGTTGCAGTAAGCTTACAGTGTTGCCAGACTCTATTGGGAAGTTGCAGAAGTTAAGAACATTGAACCTATCATGCTGTAGAGAGCTGAAATGCTTGCCAGATTCCATTGACAGAAACAAAATGCTAAGATTGTTGAGACTAAGGTACTGCAAAGTTGAGAGGCTTCCATCAAGTATGACAAAACTGGAAAATCTGGAGTGTTTGGACCTTCAGGGTTGTCGTGAGCTAGTAGAGCTGCCTGAAGGCATCGGCAACTTGGATAAGCTTCAAGTTTTGAACCTAAATTATTGTACAAAATTGGGAGGAATGCCTGTAGGCATTGAACAGCTCAGTCGACTACAAAAGTTGGGCTTATTTGCTATTGGTAAGGGAGAAAAGTTTGCTGGAATGTCAGAGCTTGCAAATGTATCTAGGTTTGGTGAGGAACTAACAATCATAGGTATTCAACATGTGATGGATACGAATGGTGCACACGAGGCATGCTTGAAACAGAAGACAAACTTACAGAGGTTGCGCCTAGAGTGGATGGCAGATTACACAAAAGAGGTAAACACTGAGTTGGAGCAGGCTGTCCTTGATGGTCTGGAACCACCACCTGGTATTAAAATGCTGGACATTCATGGGTATTCAGGTAGGCAATATGCAGGGTGGATGCAAAGTCAAGCTGGTGGTGGAGTACAGGGCCCTGCTCCCTTCCAATTTTTGAGGGAGATGAGCCTATGTTATTTGCGGAACTTGAAGCATCTAGATGGGCTTGTCGAGCTACCTTGTTTGGAGGAGCTTTGGCTGCTAAGGATGCCTTCTCTTGAGAGCATAAGTGGAGGCCCATTTCCTTCACTGGTGAAGTTGGAGATGTATGAACTGCCTTGTCTGGGAGAGGTATGGATGGTACCAGAGACGACCATGCCCGATGTAGAAGATGGGGGAGGCTGCTACAATTTAACACCTCATTTGGGACAAGTCCGAGTTGGTAGCTGCTTAACAGAGTTAGAGATCAATCGTTGTCCTAAGTTGGAGGTGATGCCGCACCTTCCTCCGTCGCTGAAGCGCTTGAGCTTGCATGGCAGTGAGCAGGTGCTGCAGTCACCAGGCCAATGCCAGGGGTCTTCTTCGTCCCCCAGTTTTAACAAACTGAAGAAGCTTCAACTATGGAATGTGACAGGATTAGGATCTGGGCATGGGTGGGAACTGCTGCAACATATGGCGGCACTCGAGTCATTGGAGATTATTTTCTTCCCTGGAGTGCAAACCGAGTCGCTTGTGGAGCCTGAGAGCTTGTGGAGCCTCACATCCCTCCGGTCCCTGAAGGTGTACGGCTGGTCTAATATCCTCATGCTACCCGAGTCGCTAGGGGAACTCCGGTCTCTGCAAGAGTTGACCATCGAATCCTGCAGTAGCCTGACCGACCTCCCCCAAACAATGGGTCAACTCTCATCCCTCCAGGAGCTCGTAATACAATCATGCGAAGCACTTCATCAGTTGCCCGACTGCCTCGGAGAACTCTGCTCTCTCCGCAAACTCGAGATTAATTATTTGAGGGGGCTGACTTGCCTTCCACAATCCATCTGCCGCCTCACCACCTCTCTTCAAGAGCTCAGAATCCACGACTGCCCGGGCATCAAATCCTTGCCGGAGGGGATAAAGGACCTCACGGCTCTGAAGCAATTGATGATCTTCGAATGCCCTTATCTGGAGAGGCGCTGCAAGAGAGGAACAGGGGAGGACTGGCGCCTCATCTCCCACATTCCTGATGTCTCCATTCATGGTTTTGACGTGTGGGGAGGATTTGGCCAGCGACTGTATGCTACTGCTTAATCGGGTGAGTTTGTTGTGCTATTTTTACCTGTATCTATGAGCAGTCCCCCTGTTTTCATGTGTACATTCACTTGAGAGCCAATTTCCTAATTATTATTTTTTATTAAAATGTGGTTTGATTTGTGGAATACTTTGGACGAGGATGTAGTTTTGACATTTATGGATTTGCCTATTATTGCATTGCAGCCCACTGCACCTGGGAGCTGGGAGTCCTTGGTTTCAAATGATATGAATTCTCTACGCGCCTGTGTAGTGTAATGCTTGGATCTTCGTCACATAGGAGTATGGGATTTCACAGAAGAACAGACGTTTGTGTTCTGTTGTTCAGTTAACATGATGGGCTTTGTCATTTGTTATTTGTCAAACTGATAACACACCTCACGTCCCTAAGGAGCTCAGCATAGAAAATTGCCATGCGCTTGTCCAATTGCCCGAAGGTCTGGGAGAGCTCTGCTCTCTAAGCAAGTTGGACATTTGGCTCTTGCCTGGCCCGACTTGCCTTCCTCAATCCTTGCGCCGCCTCATGTCCCTACAGGAACTCGAGATTAGAGGGTGCATAGAGCTTGGCGAACTGCCCGAATGCCTGGGTGAGCTCCACGGCCTACGCACGTTAACTGTTTGGCGATTGGACAGCATGACCTGTCTTCCCCAATCTTTATGCCGCCTCGCCACCTCCCTTAAAGAGCTTCAGATCTTAGCTTGCCCAGGCCTCACATCATTGCCGGGGTGGATAAAGGGCCTCACCGCTCTGCGGCTATTGGAGATCGACTGGTGCCCCGATCTAGAGAGGCGCTGCGAGAGAGGAAAGGGGGAGGATTGGCACCTCATCTCCCACATCCCCCTCATCTACGGATTGGTTGGATAGGCAGATGATTAGGGGTCTGTCTGTCTGTTATCGGTTCAGTTGGTGAGTTCATGAACCTCTAGCCTTGATTCATCCTTGTGCAGATTCAATGGTGAACCTATTTTTCTGATTCATCTAAATTCATTGTTGGTGTTCAAGGTGTGCAGTTTGCTTCTCTGGTCGTGTATGAAGACCGTATTACTTATGGGTATCCAAATATCAACAGGATTGATTTGCAACGGCAATTTTGAGGTTATATATATATTTGTCAAGGACTCCAAGGACATGCTCGCTACATGGTGGTAACTGGCAGACATCCATTGTTGTTATTTGTCAAACCTGCACACCAATAGCCTCAACTGATTGCAGCAAGCAAAGCACATTTAAAACAGGTTATTTCTCATTCCATAATTTCCTTCTTTTCTTTTTTGGAATATACAAAAGCATCCTTGTACATGCACACAAATGGTCCTAACTTATAGCGGGTGCATGTGTGAGTAGGCTAAAATGCTGAATTGAACTCTGGTTTCCAGTACATGCACATAGATGGTCCTAACTCCTGATGTGACGTGTGAATGTGTCACAATCTTCTGTTGTCAAATTTATTCTGGAGAATGCTTCACATGACACAGTTGTGTGCTAGTTGTCATGCTTAGAAAAGGAATATTGAGCAGTTTTCATGTTCAGAAAAGGAACATTGAAAAAAAAAGTTATCATATTTAGAAAAAAGAATATGAAGCAGTTCAAATCTGTAAGTACCACATGTAGTTATGATTGGTTTGCTTCAGTAATGGCTTTGCATCTGATGGAGATGATACAAAAAAAAAGACAAAATTTTGCAGTGCTTCGTTTCTTGAATAATTTGAATGAGGATGTAGTTTTGACTTTTAGGTACTTCCCTATTATTGCAGAGACACTGCACTTGGCAATCCTTGGTTAGCCTCGGTCAAGGTGGAAGGCCTGCATGCATGGGTGAAAAAAGCAAATGAACATCTGAGGCTATATGATATAAACAAATTCGTTTCAGTATTTCTGCTCTTGGAACCCATGCAAGGAGGACCATTTATACGAACCCATGCATCCTCGAGGCTGCACTCCTCGGGTGGAGTGCTCTGCTTTGCCATGAAGAAATGCGTTACTTACTTACTCTGCACTACTTGCATGTTGCCTGCACTCATGCCAGCGGCTGCAAATTTCCTTTGCTACGTACCTGAGCCGTGAAGTAAAAAGTAAATTGTTGCACTGCGCCGTCTATTCTCCACGAGGCGTGGAGCATTCAGTTGTATTAAGCGGACGACTCTGCTTTGTCGACACACCCAGCGTTTGGACTTTTGATCAGAATATGCAGCGTTTGTTTTGATCTCCTTTACATATCAAAAATTCAGATTTCGGAGCGAAAACATTCTGTTCTACTGTACAGTTAATATGTGGAGCTACTGCGAGTGATGCACGATGCGTTTTTCTTCCTTGCATGATTTCAGCCTTGTATCTTGAGTTTGACTCTGCTTGTCCTGGCATGATTTCAATCAGGTCCACCTGCAGTCTCGTTTGTTTTTTATGCATTTTGGTGTGTAGACTGTATTCTGTAGGTGCACGGCATTATGGAGCGCTGCATTGTCATTAGTCAAACTGATAACACACCTTTGCAGGCTTGCACAAAGTATGCACTGTGCTACTAGCTGCTAGCGGACACCATGGAAATATTCCACCGCCATGGGAGTGGGAGGGAACCGCTGCCTGCCTGGCTATGGCGTGGCCCCCTGCCGCTGGGTCTGGCTACGGGCGCGCCGTGGTTGGTGCGCTGCGGAGCGATTGCGAACGGCGGTTTCCTCCTCACGCGCCCTGGGGCCTGTGGGCGCCGGTGCCGCGGTGCGCGCGAAGCCGCCAAGGCACGTGGCGCAGCGGGCCAGCGGCAGCGGTGCTGGATCCCGACGCCTTTGCTGATTTGCTCTCCTGGCGTGGTACAGTGACCGCGGATTTCGAGTGTTCACATTTGGATTTGGCGGCTACGACTACGAGTAACTGAGAAAGGCGACGGGTCGAGTAAAGATGGCGAAAGCATCGCCATGGCCACACTGAGAGGAAGTTTGTTAAATTGTTACCACTAACTACTAGACTGATTCTTTCTTTATATATAAGTAATGGCACAAATTGACTGAACGAATCCCACCATCTGTCCACCAAACATGCCGTTGCCGTTGCCAATCGTGCGTAAAGACGCAGTCCTATGTTAATAGTAAACACAGTAGTAAATAGGGTAATATATCGTTGGAAAGTTGGGTCTCGCGTCTCGCTGCTTGGAGGGCCGCCGCCACCTTTCGCCTCCACCACCGCTGGTCCCCCTCCGGTATATCGGTAGAGATCGGAGGGAGCGGGATCCATCGGTTTTAATAAAATTTTTTTAGTAGGTTGAGTCTTTAGAGTTAGGGTCTCTATGTTTTTTGTTTTGTTTTGGGGATTTATCTCCTCTCCGACGAAGGCGAGAGGGTAGGGTGCAATCGTTTTCTGCATGGTGACTCTGTTGAAAATATGAGCGACAACTACGGCGTCAGTATCCTCACTAGTATGACATGAAGATTTTTATTTCCGGACGGCGACATCAAGACGAAGACGGTGTCGCCGCCATGGAATAATTTTCTCCGGTCTCTTATCCGTTTTATCGTGGTTAGATCTGGCCACGATGAAGGACTAGGGAGATTAAGTTTCAAATCGGTCTTCCTCATTCTTCGGTGGCGGAAAGATGAAGAAGGAAGACACCAGACAGAAGAAGTTTCTCAACTCCGCCTACATGAATGCTAGCCGTCATTCGTTGGGCATCTATTCTCAGGCCTTGAATGTTTGTCTGTGCGGTCATCCATACTGCAAAGCGTCGTACAAGTTTGGTTTTGAGATCTGGAGCTATTCACAACGTGGGTACAATTTAGATGAAAAATTAATTTCTAGATATTCGTGTAATCCAGAGTGTTTGTAACGTGTTAATGTACCCCGTTATTATCTAATATAATTCTTCTTTCCTCGAAAGAAAAATTCGTCGTACCACCACTGAACAGCCAGCCAACAAGGCCGTCGTACGGACTCGGCAATATTGATTGTGTTGAAGGTACATGTGCAGTATTGATTTGCAACGGCAATTTTCAAGTTTTATATATATTTGGTAATGACTGGAAGGACATGCTCACTACACGGTGCCACCTGACAGACACCCATTGTTGTTATTTGTCAAACCTGCACACCAATAGGTCAACTGATTGCAGCCAGCAAAGCACATTTAAAACAGGTTATTTCTCATTCCATAATTTCCTTTTCTTTTTTTTTTGGTAACATACAAAAGCATCCTTGTACCTTCACAGAAAAGGTCATAACTTATAGCGTGTGCATGTGTGAGTAGGCTATGCTAAATTGAACTCTGGTTTCTAGTACATGCATAGAGATGGTCCTAACTTCAGATGTGATGTGAGAATGTGTCACAATCTTCTGTTGTATATAAAATTTATTCTGGAGAATGCTTCACATGACACATTTGTGTGCTAGTTGTCATGTTCAGAAAAGGAATATTGAGCAGTTTTAATGTTTAGAAAAAAGAATATAAAGTAGTTCAAATCTGTAAGCACCACACGTAGTTATGATTGGTTTGCTTTAGTAATGGCTCTGCAGCTGATGCAGATGCTACAAAACAAGAGAAAATTTTGCAGTGCTTCATTTCTTGAATAATTTTAATGAGGATGTAGTGTTGACTTTTAAGTACTTTCCTGTTATTGCAGGTCCACTGCACTTGGCAGTCCATGATTAGCCTCAGTCAAGTTGAAAGACCTGCATGGTTGAAAAAAAGCAAATGAAGATCTTAAGGCTATATGATGTAAACAAATTCGTTTCAGTCTTTGTGCTCTTGTAGCCCAAACCAGTGGAGGGCCATTTTTTTTTTTAAGATGTCACCAGGGGGGCCAAAAAGTCCACACCTAAATAAATTTTCACTGATAGCGGCGAAGCCATGAATGGAGGGTGCCGAGCATCTAATACAGAGATAACCCTTAAAGGTCTGAGAAGTACATGATATGTATCAATGTAAGCAGCCCAAAATGGTACGGCCTACAGGGGCATCCTCGAGCTCTGCTTTGCAATGAACAAATGCTTTAGTTACTTACGCTGCACTACTTAT